CAATTGAAAAAAAATCCAATGACCTCATCGGGACTTGAACCCGCAACCTTCCGGCTTGTAGCATAGTGCCTCAACCAACTACGCTACCGCGCGCCCCCTCACAACAAAGAAAACTTCTCACTTCACATTTTCTTGTTGAGTAGGTTCCTTCAGATATGGATCGTAGCTGCAAACATAAAAAGCCAACAAGGGATGGTTTTTCAGCTTAGGGGTTTCACAACTACTCACCATAAAAAAAAAAGCTTATTACAAAATGTTAAAACTTGCTCTCTCATATTAAGGGAAGAACACAGACTGAGGTGTTCTGAAAGAGGGTTCTAAGGGGAATACTGGCACCCATGAGACAGAGGAAGTAACAGGAGACTGGAAAAAATTGTCTTTCAACAAATAATATTAATATCATCATATAAAGAGGGATGAAATTGGTGGGAAATGTAAAATGCATGGGAGATATGAGAAATGCATAAAAAAGTCTGGTTAGAAAATCTGAAGGGAAGATACACATGCAAGACCTAGGCATAGATGGGAAGACACAATAAAATTAAGCTTAAGGGAAGCGCGTGGGAGAAAGTGGGTAGAATCATCTGACTCAGGATGGAAACGGTGTTGAACTCTTATGAACATTCAGGTTCTATAAGAGACAGGGAATCTGATTAGCTTAGTGACTGTTATTTTCTCAAAAATGACTCTGTTGTTAAATGTTCTGCAACACTAATTACTTTGATATTTAATAAAAAGTTAGCATTCAATTAATTTCTCATATGATGAATAGAAGATTCATGTTACTGATAATTTAAATTCGTTTTAATTTGTTTGTATTTAATGAAATTGTTATTACACTGTGTACTATTTTATATCGTTTTTATTGTTTATCTTGACTGTTTCAATGTTTGGAACTTATTTTAATATTATTATTGACATGTTCTATATCCAGGGTTGTATTTCAACCTATGTTTTGGATTTACTGAATTTGAAAAAAAAAAGAAAAAGAAAAAAGCAGAAATAACTGTTCTCTATCCCATATGTGATGACTTTCCTAACCAATATCACAGTATACAGTAACTAAAAATCTGAAGAATTAGCATTCTCATTAAAAAATTAAAGGTTATTCATCTAAGGAAATTTAGGAATGAACATCTGAATCATTTCAAGAAACTCCACCACAGTACCTGCACAACTAAGGCTATTGTTACAAGTGGCAAGAGTATGGAATAAGTTTCATGACATATTTGGGTGTTTCCTATTAGCTCTGCAGTAGGAAACTGGAAACAGACTGAAATCAACTGAAAGATTACATTTGTACATATATTACTATTGCACAGAAATGTGGTTTACCGCTTGATCTACAACTGCAAGTGGCACAAAGTGATTCATTGTGAGGACTGTGTAGTAAGCCAATCGTGACCCAAGATCCTGAACAGAGTTCAATACATTGCTGAACAGAACACCCATCGACTGAGCATGAGGCAAGAACTGATCAGGAGATACTTCAGAGATCACACTCAGTGTATACATTCCCAACTGTAAGAAAGATTAATTTCCATTAACAACCCCTACTAACAAAAATAGTGAGCATATAAGCATTTTAAAAACAAACTATTTTATATCTTCATAACTCATTACACATTATATTCAAATCTTCGCTTGCCTCTTGATTCAGTAAAGTTAAAAGGCATCCTAAATGTTAAGAATTTAAGCACCATGCCATGAAGATATACAGGGGAGTGGAGATACAGCTTCACCACTCTTAACCTAAGCATAGATAAAGGTGAGTGACCAGCCAGACACACATAACACATTACCTCTGGGAAAACAGACCCAAGTACAAATTGTATAGGAGAATGAGTAAGCCCCAGAGCTGGTCTGGATGCTGCTATTGAGAAGAGACAAATTCTTGGTCCCTGCCAGGAATTAAACCTCCATTCTTTGGCAGTCTAAGCACTATACCAACTGAGATTTTCCAGCTCCTACCGCTTGACTAAGTTGAACTCTTGATTGGTGATAAGCACATTTTATTTTCATTTCAATCTTGTGATTTTTCAATAACTTTAATTTTTGAGAGATAAAATCAACTTGGAAATTGGCCATATGTGGGCTATAAGAGAATCACTTCATGGACCTCCCTTATCTCTTCACAAAATATATAATTCATTTGCCAAGTAATTCAAGTGGTCAAACTTTTGGTCTTTAAAAATTGAACACTTCTTAGGAAAATGGAAAATAACAAGGCAGATATGCAAAATACATGGGTCTAGAGATGAAAAATTGTAACTACACATGTTAAATCCATAATAGCCTATTTGTTACATTAATTTTATTTAATCAAACTGTTGTATAATTTTTTATTTTAAGAGCAGTACAGTAGACAAGGAATTCTTATGTGCAACAATATCAAGCATGTCACTATTTCCCACAGGAGAGTAATGAATGGGACATTGTGGTGCTGACATTTCAAACTCATTTATATGCAACAAATTCACTAGTTTCATGCCATAAGGGTTGGAAAATACACTATTCCATGATGGATGTTTAGTATTCAGATCTCCTGCCAGTAGCAACTTATGTCTAAAGTTTAAAAACTCAATAATGTCTGCAAAATTCCAGGTGTGGCCTGGTGATTTACAGACTGCTGCAGGTATCACTTCACTATTACCAGTCAGTATGCAGATGCTTATGGCTTCTATTGAAGCAAGGGGAGGCAGGTCTATATGGTTAAGGGGAATGTCTTTTCTAACAGCAATGGCAGTTCCGCCTTTTCTTACCAGGAAGCGGGCAGTCTGATACATGATAATTTAAAATAATGAGCCTCTCATGGAGTTTGAGGTGTGTCTCTGAGAGCAAAGCTATGTACATCTATATGTAAGTCTTGCAGCTGTTTACTGAGCTCATATCACTGCCTCCAAATGCCATTTGCATTAAACATTATGACTCAAAGTCAGAGTCACTTTATGACTAGCATTTTACCGCCAATCAGTTTGTCTGACAAGCCACTTGAGACTTATATTTTTTTTTTCAACTGAATACTTGCTTTCATAGTCCTTATGTAACATCCTCTCTGACAAGAGATTAAATGGTATGACTTTCCCTGTTGGTTCTTGTTACATAACTCTGACACAGACCGAATATAAAACACCACTTGCAATAGTTCTTCTATTGTTTTGTGAGTATTCCTTACCATAGAAGCATATTTTAGTTGCTATGGAAACATATTTACCAGCCATTGATTAGCATTAGAGAACTTTTCTTGTTAAAACACTTTGGTCTTCAGCCATCACGTCAAAATATCCATAAGAGCTGTCTAATTCTACAACAGCCTCTGTTGATGGCCATCTGAACATGTTTTTCCCATAAATGCTCCTGTGAGCAACATAATTTGACTGTATACCAGTAACAAAACAAATACCATGAACAATGGTATTCTCATCATCACTTTCAGCTCACTATTTCAGAAGCTGAAACATAAACATCAGGAACTGAAAGATTTTCTTTAAATTCACCTACATCATTTCCTTCTTCATTCTCCAACCATCCTAAGATTGTTTGTTTGGAATTCTGATCACTACAGATCATGTTTCATAAGGTCCTAAAGTCCCATCCTTAATGTCTGGTCTGGTCTGGTCTTGTGTAACCACTTGCATAAATCAAGAGAGAATATTTCACTTACAGTGACATACACCAGTTAACTGAAGAGAAAAGGGGGTGTAGTGTGAGACAGAAAACATTACATTGTTTCATGCAAGAAGAGGCTGAAAAGAAAATGAAATACAATCAGCATGACATACCAATAAGGTCTCACAGACTGGACCTAAGTACTTAAGGCTCAATACAATATGCATAAATGAGAATTTGCAGTATTGTATTGAGCCTTATTCACACTGTCATGATGGCATAATTCTTACCTCCTTCTCTGACATGTTGTCACTGCTGGTTAGCTGCTGTAAGAAATGCATCACTTCTGGCCAGCTCTTACTGGGAAACTCATGTCTTACTATTGTTCCAATAAACTGGGCAATGGAGTTCTTCACAAACTTCTCTGGTTCACTAACCAGAGCTTGCAAAATTCCCTGCTTTATTCTGTAATATAGGTCATATGAAATGTTTACCATGGAAAAAATCTTAATGCAGTATTAATTAAAATATATTTGAAACTTAACTGGAACCAGCGTCGTGAGGAATATTTGTAACGAACAGAGAAATTGTGCCAGAAAATTGGAGAAAATTATATAATGAGGTTTATAAATTGTACACTTCAGTAAATATTATTAGGGCAACAAAATCAAGGATGGGAGGAAATAAGTAGAAAAATGTAAAGGTATCCCTGTAACATGCCGTGGAGGTCCATAGGGTTGTGAGATTTTCTAGACAATTGGCTCATAGATGGCGGGTAGGTTGTCAGCCTTACATGCCAGCCACCCTTTACCCCCAAAAATATTCCAAGAATATCTGTGGTACTCATTTCTGTTAGAGGCTGAGTCAACCCCAGGGCCATAGTGCCGCTGGAAGGATTAGGTCAATTGAAAAAAATGCATGGGGGGAAATGATGTCACCCTATAAAAGTGCAATTGGAAAATCTCAAAAGGAAGAAACCACTTCTGAGACCTGTGTGTAGATGAGAGGATAGTACTGAATTGGGTCTTGAAGAAACAGGATGTATGCCTTCAGTTGGCTCAGGACAGGGTCCAGACATTTGTACATATTCACTTGTTTAACTGCCAAGTTCTTCACTAGAAGATTACAGAGTGCATGAACATTTTCAAAAAAGTATAAAATAACTAAGCAACTGAATACCATAATCATACTGATAAGGAAGTTAAAGCAAAGTTATTCTTAATTAAAACAAAAGCACAAGAACAGTTTGAAAAAAATGCCAGCTTCACTGACTAATAAAGAAACATGAAACATACGGATGGTTTCCATTTAAATCCTCATAATAGTGTTAAGCCATTGCTGACATTTAATTCAAGTGTAAGGTCAAAACATTTACATTTCTGGAAGATCAAGGCAGTGAAGAATAATGCTGTGGTCTTCTAGGTTATGATACCATGCAGTCTTGTGGGTGGGTGTCAGTATTTCAGAGGAGCCTCTATTATCAATAATACTGTGGTCTTCTAGGTTATGATACCATGCAGTCTTGTGGGTGGGTGTCAACATTTCAGAGGAGCCTCTATCATCAGAGTAAAAGCAAGCCAAGTTCAGAAAGTGGGGGGCTGTACAGAAAAGGATCATGAGGGATGATGCCATGAATAGGGAAGAGGAGGCTAAGGGAGTCAGTGCAAACCACAGGTCCTGAGATGGGCAACAACTTGAGGACAGACCTCTCACAAGACATGAAAGGAAGCATAACAGAAGTCTTTCCCAAAGCACAGAAGGAAGTGTAACAAAGAGTAACAATGAACCCATTTTGGGGCCCTGGAAGAAACAGGATAAAAGCACTGGCAAATTAAATCAAAGTCAAAATTTGTGCCTCAAAAGATCCTTCTTGCATTCCTCCAGGGTTAAAATTGTAGGCTTCCATGACCTGCTCATGGAGAAACCACTTTCCTTGTTCATATTGTTGGGATGGAACTCAATCTTTATTGCTTCCCTGATGATGTTGTTTTATGCATCTAGGTTTACTGGCCAGGATGCTCAGTGATGTAGAAGGCTGGCCCATATTTATATTGTTCTGACAGAGAAGGCATATTTGATTAATCAAGATGCATATGACAATGGTTCTCTTTCACCACAGCCTCAATGCAGTTTCTGGTCTGTCCAGTAGGACCGTTTACACTTGGCAGACTGCACATGTCAACCAGACTTCAGATGTGGAAGGACACAACATAAATAACTGCAGGTCAGTGGCTGTGCCACAGTTAAGGGGGCAGCAGCCCATGTTCAATCCCAGGTCAAGTCATGTGGGATTTGTGGCTCTGGGGCAGGATTCCTCCGAGTACTTCGGTTCCCCTCGCCACATCTCATTCCACCAAATGCTCCATACTCATCTATCATCCAGGGCTGGTATAATAGACCAATTACTGGCTAGTCGCAAATGGACTGTCTTAACTCAACCTATGGGGGGGGACACTCTAGGTCATCATATTCTGCTACAGGACCCAGCACCTTGGCCAAAAAATCAAGACACACTGAATCAGTCAGGAAGCCTGAGCTTCATTCCAAAAAATATGAAGAGGGAAGATGGAAATTCAACAGGTCATGGAAGTATCTCATGTTCAGCCTGAATGAAAACAAGGTTCTTTGACAGGGATTTCTTCTGGCTGTGGCCCTGAAAAAAAGGCCTCGCTGGTCCCTTCCTTTCATGGCCCTAAAAACGTTCCTCTGTTACTCCTCCTTCTGTACCCTGCAAGAAAAGGTTACTATTACCCTTCCCTTTGTGTACTGCAAAAGGGCCTTTGCTACCCTTCCTTCCATGCACTGTGAAAGGCCAGCCCTGGAGTAGCTGAACTTTCACAGCATATGGTTCCAACCGACCTGTCAGCCTTGTCCTCCTTTTCTCCATTCACGGCTCTGGCTGACCACTCCTATCCTCTGTGATCTATTTCATTTCCCAAGTCTCCAGACTTGATTCACATCTATCTTAAAAATGGAGGCAGTATATTATTCTAAAATGTTAGTACCCACCTACCAAATTGCACAATATCATACATAACCCAGAAGTCCACATTACAGAACAATTACACTTTGCATCAATGTTCATGTTAATCTGTTTCAATGATGGCCTCACATGGAATAAAGTTACAATTGAACACAATATTGTTTCCTTGTAACCTTTTGTATGAAACTCCATATAGCCTTACCCATTTCGAACATTAACTGGCAGCTCTGTCCAATGCTTGCTCTTAGAAAGCCTCTTCCTAAGAAGAACAGCAGCATATTGTCTGACCTGAGGGTTCTGAGAAGCACCTACTGTATTACACAGGGCTGGAATTACTTCTGGATCCTTGAAAGCTTCTCGTAGTTGTTTGGTTCCCTAAAAATTAATTTAAAAAATGAGGGATCAGCACCTATACATGATGTATAAACATTTGTTATTGTAATTTAAGCAAACAAATGATCTAAAGATTGTTTAGTAACTTCTGCCTGATTAGGTACTGAACATGTAACAGGTAAACTTACATCTGATGCTTCAAATCTGCCACATTTCACTGCAACGTATTCTTCCATTTAAGCTCTAAACATATGATTTCGTCAGAAAAAAAGTAAACCCCTTAAATTTCAACAACACAAAAATGAGACTATATTTTGAGAGCAGCTCATTTTTACTAGAAAAATATCTTTCCCTGACAAATTTCTTAAGGAGTGTAAATACGAGATAACTAAGGACAGGTCTGGACTGTAAGGTGGGTAGTTAAACATCTGAAAATCTACACTTTGAAGTGGCCAAAACATCCAGTGATGTCTGGATTGTAGGATGTCATAGAAAAGGAAAAATACTTTTGTTAGAGGATAGGGAACTGAGAATATTTGGACCAAAGAAGGATGAAATGGTAGGAGGTTGAACAAAATTGCACAATGAGGAGCTCCATAACTTGTACTCTTCACCAAATATAATTAGAATGATCAAGTCAAGATTTTAGAGAAATAGGATATTGTGGTATTGGTTCAGGATAGGGACCAGTGGAAAGCTCTTGTGAACATGGTAATAAACCTTAAAGTTTCATAAAATGTTGGGAATTTCTTGAGTGGCTGAATGACTGGCAGCTTCTCAAGGACTCAACTCCAAGGAGCTAGTCAGTTAGTTAAATATTTAAAATCTGAGGAATTCATAGCAATTCATTCATTCCATACTGTGGTCTTTTGGATTGACACTGTGTAGCCTGGTGCAGGAGGGTACTGGCTTCTACCCTGATGATAAAAGAGGTATGTACCTCCAAAACATCAGTACTACCAAACTACCTGGTGTCATAACTCAAAATACCTCAATATGAAACCTCCTGTTGAGTTTCTACAGCACTGCTATTTGGCTGTGTTACGCAGTGCCTTCATAGAGGCTGCACAGAATTCTCCAGTGAAACTTGATTTGCATTGCATAATTTCATCAGCAGTAGAACCTCTTAGTTCCAGCATGCAGCCATGACCTTCCTGGTTGATTCTATGTTCTCACGTTACATCTTTAGACAACCTAATTCTAGTACTGGCCTCATGATCTTTCTAGCAATTCCGAGGTTTTCCTCCTGCATTTATAATTTCATACCATCCTTGGCTACCTCTCTTCACCCATTCTACCTATATAGTCTTCTCATACCTTTCTTGAAGGACTAACTGTGACTAGTACACTCTTTAAACACGACAGTGAAAATTATCAGTGTCACACTGGAAGAGTAATTAAGACAGTAAAAGACATCCACCGGAATATACTTTATGTTATACTATGCACGAGTCAAGTTTTTACTTTTTTGAAGGCTCTCATAATTCTGTAGATTAAGACACATTAGCTTACGTACGGTTCATTCTCATATACGAGTGTTAATGTCGCCAATCGAACAGCCAACACGTGGAAATGTGACCACTTAGGTTAGGTGCTGCTTAAATGGAACAGCGTTTTGTGTTGCGGAAGCGAAGTGACGGCAGAACGGCAATACGAAACAAATTAAAATTCTATATATATGTAAGAAACTATACTTTTCACATACCTGTTGAATTACAGCACTATCTGGGACTAACAACATCGATAATATATCCTCCATGACTATCACAGCGATCACAGCCTTCTGTACGCGCCAGGAACAGTACAGCCGTGTCAGCCGTGGCAGGAGTTACGAACGTTACGAAGACGGACAGCTTTTTTGATACATTTGAGTGATGAATTTCGACATTCTCGGAGCAGGCCTTCTTCTGTATGTAGACACACTGTAACGAAGTTGCAAAGAGCAGATTCGAATGAAAGTAGTAAAATATTACTGAAAAGAGTGCTAACACAATCACCGGAATAGAGCTTTGAAAACTTATTGCGATCGACTACTGATAATTATGGTGTCGAGATTTGGGTGGTGCTTAATTTAGTGGAAGGACCGCCTTTCATTTATTATTATTATTATTATTATTATTATTATTATTATCTGTAAAATATTTGCATTGCAGAAAAATAAAATTCGATGCAATTAGATTTCGAGTGTAATGAAATGTAATGTCTATTACATCGTTTAGGGTGCATCATCATCATAAAATCAGATAGTGTCGCCGATAATTGTGACTTTTTTAATCGCTTTGATTCGGTTTATCGGTAACGTCGTTGACAAGTAACGGAGTTTTTCATCTTTTTACGCCCTGTTGTGTCCGAAAGAAATTCGTTTTGAATCAAGCGCTTAAAAATCTGGTCTGTGTATGCCATCTATTGAATGAATTAAAAACTGTGAAACAAATGTGTGGTTTTGAGGGGGAGTTGAATGGATTGAATCATTCTTTGGAAGGCATGAACAAATTGTTAATTTTGTGGATGGAGGATTTGAAAGCGAAATGTGTCTCTGAGTTTCTCTCTGAATGTGATTGTGGCGAGGTTCATCCGGTGACCCTGAGAATGAGGTAAAGGTAAGCAGTGGTCAATTTTTTTTAGGATTAAAATTCGTGCAAACCTTCGTAATATTAGTTTTACTGGAGACACAGCCAGTGCAGACGACATGCAGCCGTTTTCCAGCTGAAGAGACAATTTGCAAGAACGTAGAAAATCTTCAGAACAATTTTTTTTTAATGCTGATAGGATTTGTTTATATTGAAAGAAAGTGTCATTTCGTTCCTACATCTGGAGCAAGGAGAAAGCCACCTGTGGTCGAGAAGGTTCCAATGATCCGCTCATCCTTCCATTTTGTGGCAGCACAGAAAGAGACATCAAGTTTGAACCTTTTCTGGTGTATTATTTAGAGAATGCAAGGACATTGAAGCCGTGCACCAGGACCAAACTCATCGTGGTTTGGTGATAAAGCTGAAGAGCCTGGATGGCTACATTCTTATTCCAGGATTCGGGTACGTTCTTTCCCCCTTCGTAGAGAAATAGGCCTATTGCGAGCAACGAAGTCTCAACAATATGGCCTTTCCTGATTTTGGACTGCACCGCGTCAGGTCCTTAACACAGAAGATAATGTGCAAGTCGTTCTCATGTTATACAAATTCAACATTTTTGTTGCAGCTAATGGATAAGGAGTGATAACGAGGTTCAAGGCCTATTATATTCTGTGGTCCATGCGGTAGGTGCTCACCCAGACATATTATCAGGACACGCCATCAGTTTGGGGTTCCTGAATGGATTGCAATAGCAAGAAGGAAACAGACAACATAGAGGCATCATAGGAATAGGTCACTCAGGTTATAATGTATGATATGTGGCTGTATGTATGGCTGAAGTGGACATGCGGTGTCCAGGAAATTGCCAGAACCCCCGAAATTCAGCTGAAATTTTTTTAACTGGCAAATAAGGTTGGCTCCAACGAATTGTAACATGGTAGAGACGCCGGAATCGCGCGGAGATGAACTGACCAAACGAAATTGGAGAAACAAAGGTAGAGAGAATGGGAGAAAAAAAAAGAGAATGCTGCTAACATCACGAGTAAAACAGCTGAAGACGAAAAGTGGATGCCCATTCTCGTTGAAGGCTATTTCAAAATAGAGCGGAGAGGCAACTGCAGCTGAAAATGTAGTGACCTTTTGTGCTTGTATAATGAACTGAACCCAGAGAATAAGAAGAAGGAAAATATAATGCAGAATTTCTCGGTTTCTTCAAATGTGAATATTATGAATGATAAATGTTTGCATATACATATGTCGATAATATTACTGAATTCCTGTTTTTAATATTAATGGGTTTAATTTTTGTTTCAAATAAATAATTAAGCGAGGCAAAGGTTAGGTTTGCAAGTTCAAAAATTTTGTTTCGGGAACGGATATGCTCTTTCAGACTTGTAAATATGAATAAACCTACTCGATTTACGTCGTCGTCCCTAGGTACACCCCAACCCCCAACTGGGAACCAAAACCGAAATATCGAGGATCTTGTTAAACACACAGCAATTCTCTTCCATGAGGTTGCCTGCTAAAGGCATGACGTACCCCAAAAATACATTTCAGACCAAATATATAATCATTTATACACGATTAGAATGCGGTAATTTGCATTTTATTATGAAATTATAATTTTGGATTATCTAAATCACATTAACAGTACATGATTCACCAGCCTAGCGACGTCCCTGGGGCCCGGGTGGTATCCCTCTTCGAGATTATACCTAACGTCGTCGTATCAAACCCTAAAGCTGAACACAGCAGAGGCGCTCTCCTTTGTTAAATGATAGTGCTGACACATGCAAAGTAGAGAACAGTAACAGAAATGGCGTAATGAATAAAAGATTTTGGATAACCTTGAAGTTATCTTCTTACTATTGATTATTTCTTATTTTTATTTGTTTATTCATATTTCATCTTCTTGATAGAGATTAGAATGTCATGTTCAAAGAAATAATAATCTTTACATTTAATTTAGGCCTACCTGAAGGCAACGAGGAGGGCGACTGAGGCGTGGTAAACGACCGAGACCGAGCCTCCTGAGCCTAAGTAAACCTACGGAGGCCTCTGACGAGACTTTTGCGACTGTAGTCTCTTCAATATCAAAATAAATTCGATTTACGAGTTGTACCTGGAACTCATGAACTTACTGGTCCCAGTATAACGGTTTAGAATAATATTTATTGGAAGCGGACCGCCTCTGTGGTCTAGCGGTCAGAGTTCGTAGCTACAGATCCAGAGGTTCCGGGTTCTATTCCCGGTGTTACCAGATTTTCCGACAAATTGTGGATCTGGAACGGGGTACACTCAGCCTCGTGAGGGTAATTGAGGAATTATTCCAAGGAAATAGCGGCTCCGGTCTAGAAAACCGAAATTAACGACCGTGGGGATCCGTTCTGACCACACGACACCCTCTATCCGCAAAAGTTGGCACGAACTTCGCCGACAAGCGGCGTTCGCTCGATCGGTATAGTTCTCTTGCGGACTACAGGCCACGGAGTTTGTTTTTGTTTGTTTATTTATTGGATGCATGACAATGAGAAATGATCAGGGTTTTATATATTCTCTTAACCAGGCTTCCCTAAATCAAATGTTTTAATCCTGCATCTCCTTAGGGGAGGACTATGAATTCTGAATGAGTTTCTTGTCGTTTTGCTCTCTTGAAAAGCCAAATTCTGCTCAAATTTTGCGACAACATTCGTTGAGGTCAGCTCGAAAATTTATTTCAGTCAAATCAGACATCCCCTCTAACATTGGATAGCTCGCTAATTGTTTGGCTGGATCGGTGTCAAATTCGGAAAGGTGTTCCTCTCAGTGCGCGACTGAAATGCTGAGACGGAAACAAGTTTACATGACGTGTGCACTCTACTCTGTTCTATCTTTGAACTCCATCGCCTCGGGGCTCTGTAGCTGAGGCAAGGGGCGTCTTTCATCACGACTGCCGTTGTCCTTGTCTAGCGGTGTGACAAATGGCGGGCAGATCCAGGCCAGACGCTGCCAGTAGCCCCCAGCTACCAACAAGAAATAATAAACTATTTGAGGAGAAGATTTCAGATTCTGGCTTGCGGCAATGGGCAAAAGTCAGGGGTCCTGCTGGAACCACATGGAGTCATGTTCCGGTGCTACCATTGCTCTATAAAACTCGGTCTCTTTGTAGGCATACTGCTTGTAAAATGCTCCCCCTACTTGTACACAAATTGCCCAGCACACAGTTAGGATTTTTCCATTTCCTGTGGTAACAAGCAAAATGCAAGGAAAGTACTTTAATATATAAGATTTGAGGCTTTCACGGCGGTGACTATGAAGAAAGCAGTCTTCTGGGATTTGGCACCGTATATATGTGGTGTTAACCGACGTTTCGGAGGAACGTATCGCCTCCATCTTCAGGGTAGAAGGAAAAAATATAAGAAATCCGCAAGCGAAGAGACCGTGAGAACCGGTAAAAGCAGACTGCTTTCTTCATACTTTAATATGCTCCTTTAGTCAACAGTTCACCTAGCTCATTACCTCCAGGGTAAACCTCATAGTCTTGAAACGGATATTGAATTCCATATCGATATCGGAAGTATATAGATATTAAATATTTATACATTTCTGAAGAACCTAATTAAATGTAGTATTAAATAGTACATGTTACTTTTGGTTTCTCTGTATTAGAAATTGTCGCAATTAAGTATGGGTAAAAATGGTCGATTATACTTCTAATTAGAACCTATGAAATTCTTAATTTATTCATTCATTCATCAGTAATATGTCAAGACGACAGGTCCACAGTCTCTTCCAAAACAGTTCCTCCACTTGATGCGATCTAGAGCTTTCTCCTTCAAATGAAAATATCCTCTTCTGTCCCCAAGGTCATCCAGCATCTTCTTACGTCTTCTTCCTCGTCTTCTGGTCACTTCTATCCGCCCCTCTATCTTTCCTTCAATAACTTCTTTTAGAAGGCAGTTACC